CCCATGGGTAGTCCTCGCGCGGCGCGCGGGCTTCTTCGCAGGAGGCGGCGGGCGCGGCGCGGCGCTGCCCGATGCTCGCCGCGCTCGTCGAGGCCCCCGGGGGCACCGCGGGATGCGGCAAGCGCGGCGCGGCGCTCCCCAGGCCCCTCAGACGGAGACCGTCTCCTGGCGGGGCGGAACCGATGCAGCGCGATCCTCCGACCCCTCTTCTGCTCGGACCCCATCTGGGAGGTCTCGAGGGGCGGGCCAAGCCCGACCACCCCCAGCTCTTTTCGTCGGGCGGGGTCGTCGTTGTCGGGAGGAGAGGGGGGGAAGAAGAGGGAGGGACGGAGAGGGACGCGGGGGGGGGAGCGGGAGGGGGGGTGGTGGAGAGAGAGAGAGGGGGGGGGGGGGGGGTGGGGGGGGAGGAGGAGGAGGAGGAGGAGGAAGAGGAGGAGGAGGAGGAGGAGGAGGAGGAGGAGGAGGAGGAGGAGGAGGAGGAGGAGGAGGAGGCTGAGGGCGGCGAGGGGCCAGGAGAGGCCGGACGGAGAGGAGACCGAGGCACCCCAGGGGTGAGAGCGCCGAGAGGGCGCAGGAGCAGAAGGCCGAGGCTGGCGGCGAGGAGGAGGTGGCGAGGGAGCGCTGAGGAGGAGGAGGAGGAGGAGGAGGAGCAGGAGGAGGAGGAGCAGGCGGATGGGAAGAGGAGGAGGAAACAGAGGGCGAGAAGACGCAGGGTGCGGCCGCGGAGCCCCGGGAACGCCGAGGAGAAGGAAGAGGAGACAGCATGGGCCGCCGCTCCCGCCGCCGCCCCCGCCGCTGCCTCGCCGCCGCCCCCGCCACCGACCGGCTGAGGGGGCCGGTGGACGGGGGGCCCTCCCAGGGACCTCCGCGGCCGGCGCGGGCGCCGGTCCGCAGGGAGCGCTCGCCGAGTGCCCCGGGGGTCCCATCGGACTCGGGGACCCCCAGGGCCCCGCCCGAGGAGGAGGAGGAGGAGGAGGAGGAGGGAAGGGAGGAGGAGGAGGAGGAGGAGGAGGAGGAGGAGGAGCAAAGGAGGAAAGGAGGAGGAGGAGGAGGAGGAGGAGGAGGAGGAGGAGGAGGAGGAGGAGGAGGAGGGGGGGAGAGGAGGGGAGGGGGAGGGAAGGGAGGGGAGAGGGAACTGGGGGGGAGGGGGAGGGTCTGGGAGGGGGAGGGGGGGAAACGGGAGCGGGAGGACGAAGGCGGGAGGGGGGGGCTTGGGACGTGGAGGCTCTCCCCCCGCTGGGCGGGGTCGTCGGAGGGGGGGGGGATTGTAGGGAAGGGGACTACCACGGGACTGCCCTGCGAATACCACCGTACTGGAGAGGAGGATGGGGCGAGGGGGGAGCGGGCGGAAGAGGGCGACCACACTGGGGACGAAGACGGGTGGGAGGGCGAGGGAACAGGAGCGGGGCGGGGGCGGGGGGGACAGGGGGGGGGCGGGGGAAGGGAGCGTGGGGAAGAGAGAGGGGGATGGGGGCAAGGGAAGACAAGCGGGAAAGGGAAGAACCGCAAACGGCGGATGGCCGGAAAGAAGGCGTAGGGGGCCAGGGGAATCATGATGAGTGAAGCGAAGCGAAGGCGGGCGAGTCGGGTACGCAGGTGTGCCCGTGCCAATTTGGGGCGCATGAGGCCGTGTCCTCACCTCGTGTGCGAATAGAACCTGTGCAAAGAGAAGGCACGCAGCAGTGTGCGCATGTACCTGAGGACATGGTGGACGTGACAGAACATGTTCACGGACCAGGCCAGGGTCGAGTTGGTGCGGTCGGTGTCCTTGCTTCTACTGTTGGTGGTCGGGTAAGGGCCGCAGAGCAGCCAAGGGCCTGTCTGTATTGCCTATCGGGCACGCGAGGCCTGTCGGGAGATACAACATGTTGAAACACAATGCCACGAGACTGGTTGGCATGACGGGCCCATTGGCGTCGATCTCGATGATGATCCGTCCAACGCCGTTGTGACGCCGTACAACCATGCATCGATGGCGGGGAATCAACTCACTGTGTAATTCAACCTCCAGCGACGATACGCAAACCTCGCACGCGAGCTGCCTCGAGCTTGTAATCAGCCAGGCGGACGAGGAAGAGTGACGAGTAAAAGGAGCAGCAATCGGATGAGCAAAACGACAGAAGTCACTGCACCGACCGTGCAGGCGTGCTGCAGCGGATTCCTGCGTAGATGTATGTCAGTGCAAAGCCCCGAAGCGGCGAGTGACAAACGAAGAGAATGTCGTGTGTATTATTTTTGAGTCTTCATTCCTGGCAGAACACATCCGCACGAAACTCACCTCGAATTCCGGAACGACGTTCTCCAGGATACTCACGGCCCACCCCGTCGTGGGCGAAATCCGCCCTGCGATGTGGGCGCCATGGCAAGAGGGAGGCGGAGGATGGTTGCCATCGCTCGGACGTCCATTCCCTGTGTGTTTCGGTCTCGTGCGTGGTTTTTTCGCCAAATGATCAAGGATGCTCCTCGATGGTCCTCGCCGAGGAAAAAAGGCACACGTCCGAGCGATGCCGAGGACGAGGAAGGACTCGGATCCTCGTCCCGTGGCCCGCGCTGGGGCGAGAGCGCCAGTCCGGGCGGCGCGCGCAGAGCAGCGATCTCGAGAAGGGTGCCCAACGCTGCAGCGAGATCACCGTTCTTGAAGGACAGGCGGCCAGACTTGGAACGGCAAACAGATCGCGACTCCTCCTCCTCCTCCTCCTCCTCCTCCTTCTCTTTCTTCGCTCCCTTCTCGTCCTCCTCCTCCTCCTCCGAGAGGTGGGCACGGCACTGGACATGGAGAGGAAAGCGGGGGGAGCAGTATACCGAGTATCTGTGCCTGGGGTGAGGCCGACTGGGGAGGGGGAGGCGGATTGGCTACGGGGGGGGAAAGGATCAATCGAGGACGAAGGGAGGAAAAGCGGGATGCGCTAGGCCGGGAAGGATGACGAAATGCAGAGAGAGAGAGAGAGAAAGACAAAGAGGAAGAGAAAGACAGAGAGAAAGTAAAATAGCGAGAGAGAGAGAGAGAGAGAGATAGCGAAAGAGAGAGAGGGGCGGAGAACGGGAATAACGGCAAAAACCACGGGAGATCCCGTGAGAAGCATGTCCTTTTTGGCACGGTCCGCCTCCTTGATGACGCGGAAGTGCCCCTCGAGCTTGTCGAAGAGACTCTCGAGGCGCGAGATCTGGGCCTTCTTCTCCTGTGAGGGGGGGAGGGAGGGAGGGAGGGAGGGGAGCTTTTCCAAGGAAGGGCGCGGCGTGCGCGGCAAAGGAGATTGAGGAGGAGGAAAAGGAGGAGGAGGAGGAGGAGGAGGAGGAGGAGGAGGAGGAGGGAGAAGGAGGAGGAGTAGAAGGAAGATGAGGAGGAGGAGGAGGAAGAGGAGGAGGAGGAGGAGGAGGAGTGGTGGGGAGATGGGATGAGGAGGAGGAGGAGGAGGAGGGCGTCGGATGAAGGAGTGACGGATTCAGTTTGATTTGGACTCGGGTAAGGATCGCACCACTCATCACTCGAATCGGCTGATGGTTCCAGAGCACATTGGGCAGATTGCCGAGGTCAAGGCCACGCTGCGATTGCGGATGTGCCAGCAGGAGCTTCTGATACGTCACCCCACCATATGTACCCCACCCGTCGAGAGAAAACAGGCGGACGGACCGGCCAGCGGGAGGGGGTGGTTTAGGACGCAACTCCTGGGAGATCTTCGTAAGAACGATTAACTGCCATTCGGCCAGATCGGCAAAGAATAAGCTCGATTGGGCGATTAGGCCATGCTGAGCGGCATTGGACGGAAATTCTCAACACGGATCTACCACCGCCGATTCCGAATGTAACCTCCCAGTACATGCATCCGACTATATAGGAGGGCAGGAGCAAAAAGAGAGCGGGAGGGAGGAAAACGCTCCTGGCAAGTTCAGGAACACTCCTCCTCGTCCGAGTTCCCGTCGTCGCCGTCGCCGCACCCGTCCTCGTCCTCGTCCTCCTCATCGTTTTCGTTATCCTCCTCCTCCTCCTCTTCCTCTTCCTCTCCTCCCTTTCAACGTCGTTTTCCTCCTCGTCCTCCCGCGAGGAGGTGGAGGAAGAAGAGGGAACGACGGCTGAGGTAAGAAGAATGATGGAAGACGGAAAAGATGGGAAAAAAACAAGACAACATGGGAAAGAGGAAAACTCTCCGGCGGCCATTCGGGACGATTCCGGCACGCCTGGCAGGCACTCGACGAGGCGCAAGTGTTAGAAGACATCCCGGGATCTGACAACCCGCGATAATGTTCGAGAACTTCAGAAGCCCCCAGGAACTTGCGAAGAGCCCCGCTTGAAACAAATCCGAAGAGCCCAGCTTGAACCAAGTCGCTTCGCAGGAAACCTGAGCCCCTCCCCGCCGGAGCGCGAGGTCCTCCTTCACCACCTCAGGCCGGGCCGGCCGCGCGGCGTGCAGGGGGGACGGCCGCCAACCCCGGCCGGCCGAAGAAGGGCTCGGCGGTTTCACGTGCCATCGCCGGGTCGACCATCCCACGTGCGTGTTCCGCTATCGTGCGTGTTTTTTGTTTTTGCTCGACGGTCAGAGATGATCTTCGATGGTCCTCGCCGAAAAGAAGTGCACACGTCCGAGCGATGCCACATTCCAAGGCGAGGCCAGGTGCGGCGCACTTCAACGTCCGAGGGGCGGGCCTGGAAGGATCCGAGCGGTGGGCCGGGGCCCGCTCTCACAGCTCGAGGGCGTATGGCACGCACGGGTAATTACTGCAGGAATGCTGTAAGATTTCCCACTCACGGTCTGCAACAACGTCCGGCCAATCAGTGGGCAGGCTTGCGTACCGGACCTGGCACCGGAAGGAAACTCACGAGGTCCTCGCTGCACTTCTCCTGTGCTCGTCCATGGCGCCAGTGCGCTGGCCGATTGTGGTGTAGCTCGGGTCTGCACAACGCCGCTGTGCGTGACCACCGAGCTAGCTGTTGTATGGCAGTCCATCTGGCCAACTTGAACTTCCACACGTGGTATACCAACGAAGCCCAATGGTCAACACTGGCGAGCGGGCATGCGTCTCTGCTGCATTGGTCACACGCTGGGTGGAGTCAACCCACGGCTTTAAATCATCATCTCCGTTGTCAAGAACGACGTCTTCAAACAGGTCGGCTTGGGATGTCCAGTCGCTGGTTGTGTCGGAATGCTCGTGACTACAATTGTCGTGGTCGTCTCGTTGCACATCGATCGCTGCGTTTTCCAATCCGACCTCGTTTTTGGCCAGGGTCACGCTGCGATTGTTTTCAAGCACGCCCCACCAACAATCGCAACATACGACGATACGTCCCGCTCGGGATGGTAAGCATATCCGTGGTCAGTGCCCACGAATACCAACCGCACATAACGGATTGGGCGGCGGTCGCATTGAACAGCCAGAGGCGGGCATGCAACGATAACGGTTTGTTCGTCAATTCTTGTCGGGACTGATTTAATCCGCGCCATTGAATCGTCCCGTTGACCGTCATGACATAACAGACAACCCACGTACTTCAACTTCCCACCGTGGTCCAAGATGTTAGTGCTGTCTTCGCCAAGCAAAACATGCTGAACCACGCGCCCTGGTGGACGATTGATGTTGGTGAGGAATTTGGTTTCCCCAACTTTAGCTAAGAGTCCCCAAAATGGTGCCTCATCTCGTGGGTCTCGGAATTAAAAAAATTAATTGACGGAAATTGGGCGAACAAAACAACATGTTGTCGGTAAATGTTACCTTCGCCAAAACACTGCCACGGAAACGTCCGTCCAAAACGGATACCCAAACGCTTGGAAGCCCAAGTGGTCTTGAGGGTACGACCAAACTATTGAGGGTGCGCCGCTGGATCTCCCCAAGGGGGGGGGGGGGGGCCCGTTTCCTCGATCCGTCGTCGGGGACCCCCCCCCCTCCCCCCCCTTCCCCGATCCGTTGTCGCCCCCCCCCCCCCCCCCCCCCCTTTCCTGGTCCGTCGTCGGGACCCCCCCCCATCCCTTCCCTTTCAAAAGGGGGGGGGTCCGAATTCCCCGCCCCCCCCTTCCCCCCCTTTTGGCCGCCCCCCACCCCGCCCCCCCTTTCGCCACGCCGCCTCCTGACTCCGGAACCCGACCTCAGCCACCCTTACCCCTAGTCCTCACCCTAACCCATACGTGCCCGTAACCCTAACCCCAAACACTAACCCCAGCCCCAAAGAAAAACACTACTCATGACTCACCACCCACTACTGACTACTCGTTATTCGCTACTCACTTCTCACTACCCCTACTCACTACTCACGACTCACTACTCCCCATACACTACTCACTACCGACCACCCACTACCCGCTACTCACTACTCCCTACTCACCACTCCCTCCTCCCTACTCCCTACTCCCTACTCAGTCCTCGCTACCCACTACTCAATACTCACTACTCATTAAGCACTACTCACTACGCCCTACTCACTACTCCGTAATCACTACTCATTACCCACTACCCAGTATCCACTACTCACTACCCATTGCCCACAGTCACTACTCACTACACACTACTCGCTACTCCCTAGGCAGTACTGACTACACAGTACTCATTCTTCACTACTCGCTACTCCCATACTCGCTACTCAATACTCACTACTCACTCCCCTCTACTCACTACGCACTACTCAATACCCCTACTCACTGGTCACTACATAGTCTCTAGTCACTAGCCAAAGGTCACTAGTCACTAGTCACTAGTCACTACCCACTACCCACTAATCGCTACTCACTACCCACTATGTGCTACCAACTTCTTACTACTCACTGCTCACTAGTCCCTACTCCCTTCTCCCTACTCCCTACACTCACTACTCACTACTCGCTACCCCCTAGTCGTTACTCACTAACCACTACCCACTACTCACACCTGACTACTCTCTACTCACTACTCACTACGCCCTACTCGCTCCTCACTACTCACTACACGCTACTCCCTACTCGCTACTCAATACAAACTACCCACTGCCACTACCCACTACTCTCTACTCATCACTACTCACTACTCACTACTCACTACGCACTACGCACTACGCACTACTCACTACTCACTACTCACTACTCAGTACTCGCGAATCTCTACTCTCTAATCACTGCCCACTACTCACTACTAACTACCTACTACTGGTTACTCACTACTCACTACGCACTACGCACTACCAACTACTCACTACTCAGTAATCACTACTCGCCACCCACGACTCACTACCCACTACTCACTACCCACTACTCATTACTCACTACTCCCTACTCAGTACTCGCTATTCACTACTTACTACTCTCTACTCAGTACTCGCCACTCACTACTCTCTTACCGATACACATTACTGACTTTTCACTACTCACTACTCCCACCTTCCTACTCCCTACTGGCGACTCACTACCCACTACTCACTTCCCAATACTCACTACTCACTCCGCACTAACTCACTACGCACTACTCACCACCCCCTACTCCCAACTCCGTACTCCAACTGGCGCAAAAAGTAACAGCGAGAGAGGCCCCCCCTCCCTGGCTCCCGTTCCAACGCAAGGGGGGGGGGGGGGGGGGGCGAACACCCTTTTCCCCCTTTCCAACGCCATGGGGGGAAGGGGGATGGTGGCTCGGACCCCCCCCCCCCTCCCCCCTCCTCCCCCCCCCCCCCCCCCCCCTCCTTCAAGGGGGGAGGGGGGGGGAGAGGGGGGCGGGGTTGGATCCCCCCCCCCCCCCCCGCCCCTAAGGGGGAAAGGAAAGAGGGGGGGGTCTGGACCCCCCCCCCCCCCCTCCCCCCTTGGAAAAGGCAAGGGAAGGGGGGGGGTCTCTGCGCTCCCCCCCCTCTCCTCTAGTGTATTCAGAGATATCCACTGGCGCGCTTTCCTACTTATTCCAATAGCGCGTTGAACAACAGAGCTCAGCGGGTCCATGAACGGTTGCGTGATCATCAAATCCAATCCTCGGTCGGCGGCGAACCTGGGGGGGAAGTGAGAAGAAGCGAGCCTTCCGAAACAACTCCCGTCACTCCCCGGATACACATGAAACTCCCCAGGGAACTGGCGACCGCCTTCTGGGAAGGCCTGCTCTTCCCCCTCCCCCCTGGCGCGCCGCCTATGAATGATTTCGCGATAATGGAACCGTTAACCTCGGGGAACAAACGATGACAGAAACATGCGATTTCGGAGCGCACCCGGATTTCTTGGATCGGCGCTAGAGGCGCCGT